CTCTTATTCACCCATCATCCCCAAAAGAGACTAGTTTACATGTACCTATTTTCTTAGAAAAGCCATGTAGACAGATTAAAAATTATTAAATGACATTATTTGATAGCATGATTTCTAAATAGTAAAGAAAAATTAGTTTGTAGAGAATTTGTGAAATCCAATTATATGCGTGGATCGTGGCGTGTTTGGACGTCATTACCGGTATTCAATTTTAATGCGGCTTTGAAATAAGGCCCCTTTTGAACAAACGTGTGCGGGAAACCTTTCACTAAAAACATTTCTGGCATCGTTTAGCATAATTTTGAAATTGTGTCACATACTCATATTTATTAATTTTATTTCATTATTTTTTTTTAAATGCATGTACATGTGTATGTATTACATTTACACAATATGTACATTTACTAGTACAGTGTATATGTGTTATCTAAGGTAGGATTCTTCTCACACAAAACTATATTTCTTGTGTTTAAAAATTAACGAAATTTTCACAGAAACAAGAAGACAATATTACTAAGTAATGGTATCAGTAAGATTAGTTTTGACCGTTTTATATTAGAATCAAGGTCAGGTCAAGGTCATTACATTTCCCTGGACATTAATTATAATAAAAATAACTGCATCCAATCGTGCGATAGGGCCTTCTATTTTAAAAGATTATATGTTTTTCTTTTTGCATAAAAAGATATTACCATATAGGATCTATAAGATAACACATGTATTACCAAATTGAAACAAATAGTTTAACAAAATGGATTTTGGCTAATCCCAATTTTCTCTATTTTTTCTTAAATTTTTAGATATTTAAGTTATTTTTATATGCGCCCTATATTTAAATTTTTCTTATTTTCACATATGGGAAAGAAGTCATAATTATAGAGATACAAAATGATACAAAAACAAATAGTTTTGACAGTTTACTAAGAGAGTAAAAACACTTTCAACGGATTTTTGATGGAAACATTTCTACGGATTTTTGTTGGAAACATGGAATAATTTACATAACGGGCGAAGCCCGTTTTGCATAAATTATTCCACGTTTCCAACTATCGTTGATGTCCCTAGCATTCTCTACTAACTAGACAGTGATTCTTTATATTTCCATTTCATTGTGAAGTAAAATTGTAAATTTATATTTTAAAAATGTAGAATTAATAGATTTAAATTCCACGAGGCCTCCCATGTCAATTTCAATAGTCTTCGCCCACTGACATCAAACACAAAGACAGCCTCCTTAGCGTCAGACACAGAGACAGACGCGCACGAGATTTACATCCTTAACTTAGCCCCTGACGGTTTGTTCCCGTTTTGCACACATTTGAATTACAGATAATTGAAAAATGTGTGCAAAACGGGATTTGACCAGGTGAGATAATTACTTAATTGCTATAGTCTATACTATACTTAGTAAGTAGGTTTTCATTCATTCATTCATTCATTTATTCTCTCAAAAAACCATACAATGGTACAAGAGGTACATATATACATATTTACAATAATTATGGACGAGCAGAGACTACAGGAGGACAGACAGTGTCAAAAATCTTTGTAATAAATATACACAATTTTCGTAAAAATGCTGGATCTGTACTTGTCATCAAATTACAGAATTTTATTATATTTGGGTGAACATAGTATTTCTGCAACAAAAAATCTTTTCGAATCTTATATAATGCATTACATTCCAGTAAATAATGGAATTCGTCTCCTATCTGGTTATTATTACATAGATTGCACTTTCTTTCATTTCTTTCAACATTATTCCATCTACCCATCTCTATTGGAAGACGATGGTTACTTGTCCTAAATTTTGAAAAGATATTTCTAAATTTTCTTGGTAAAATAGTTAAATATTTTTCACATTCAAACTTTGTTTTAAAAATTCTATATGTAATACCTTTACTGGAATTATTCAAATCACTATACCATTTCTGTAAAAACTGATCTTTGAGCTTTTGGTTAATTGTGGTTGCAATCCAATTAACACTATGAAAATTTTGATTAGTCCAAATATTACAGAGACCCGTTGTATTAAGAATATTACGTATGAAAGATATCCATGGATTACTAATCCCATTTTTAGTGTATTTATTATAAAGATGTAAATAAATAACTCTACAGATCTTATTCTCATTTCCATGTATCATTTTTCCCCAGTAAGATATCATTCTTGTATAAATGCGCACATACATCGGGTAACGTCCAGTTTCCCCGTATACCATAAAACTCGGTGTACTAGATTTTAAGTTTAGAATATATTTTAAAAATCTTAAGTGTAGACGTTCAATAATATCTATATTTTCAAATCCCCATATTTCACATCCATATAATAAAACAGGAACGACAACTTTATCAAACAAATCTAACTGACAGTCCAGAGATAGATTATATAAACGAATTTTTCTAATAATGCCATACATTGCCTTTTGTGCTTGATTACATAAGTGTTTCTTGGCCTTTGAAAATGACCCTGATCTTGAGAATATAATACCAAGGTAATTGAAATCTTTTACAGTTTCTAAAACATCGTCATTGTATTTAAATGTATGTTTGGGTGGTCGTCCTTTTGAAAATATGACAATTTTTGTTTTCTTAACATTAACATGGAGTTTCCACGTTTTGCAATATACAGAAAATTCATTTAATGCATGTTGTAAATCATTTGCGGTTTCAGCCATAATAACCGTATCATCAGCATAAAATAAAATAAACAGCTTGATAAAAATGTTAAGATCATCTTCAATCTCTTTAGAAAAATTCTCTAAACCGTTAACATTCCTTTCTGTAAGGTAATTTTCTAAGTCGTTGATATACAATGAAAATAAAAAAGGTGAAAGGTTTTCACCTTGTCTAACCCCGACATTGCAGTTGAAAAATTCAGAAGACACACCATTCACATTAATTCTTGATTTTATGCATGCATACATATTTCTAATATAGTTGAAACACTTCCCACTAACACCGTTTGAAAATAATTTGTACCAAAGGCCGCCTCTCCAAACCGTATCAAAAGCCTGTTTAAAATCGATGAATGCACAGTATAACTTTTGTTTGCTATTTATAAGGGCTTGTGACAGAAAATGCAAAATCAATATATTGTCTAAAGTAGAATACCCCTTTCTGAAACCTGTTTGACTCTCATTAATCAGACTGATATTTTCTGCATAAATTTCTAATCGTTTTTTTTAAATACTCGTAAAAAGTTTCCCTAAGCAGCTCAATAATGTGATCGGGCGGTAGTTTTCAGGTTGTGTTGGATCTCCTTTATTTTTATAAATAGGTTTAACAATGCCTACAAGCCATTCTTCCGGTACTATCCCAGAGTCAAAGATAAGATTGAACAATTTCTCGTACAGAGACAAGAACAATGAAATAGTGGTACTAATATGTTCGTTAAGAATGTGATCGCTTCCAGGAGATTTGTTGTTTTTTAGGTCTTTTACTGCCGACAAAATTTCATCTTGCGTAATTGGACAATCAAGTGTTTCATTATATCTACTTTGTTCAGTGATATTACATGTAATTGAGTCTGTTTCCTCTACATCGACTTCATTGATATTTTTGAAGAAATTATACAGATTGTTTAAATCAGCTGTACATGTGTCATTTTTATTTTGGCTATTTAATATTTTCCAGTATTCCTTCGTGTTATTTGTTCGCAAATTTTTAATTTTCTGAGATAGATCTTGTCTGTACTTACTGATTGATGAATCCATTACTTTTTTATACTCTTTGCTAGCTAGTTTTAATTTCTCTCTAGATTCTTGGGTTTTAATTCTATTATGCATTCTTTTAGATAAGTGGAATTTTTTCCTCGCTGTTCTACAATAGCGATTGAACCAAGGTTTATCCGTTTTTTTCTTTGCATTTTGAATTTTATGTTTAATCCCAAATGATTCTTTGGCTGCGCTTAAAAACACATTGCAGATTTTTGCCATTACATTATTCAAATGTTCTTTTTCCAGCCCATTTTCCAAGTTCATTAGATCCCCAATTTCTTTTTCAATTTTCTCAGTTGTAGATTTACAGCGGTCTATATTAGCACGAAAATCGTCTGCTTTGTTTGCGCACCATAACTTCACACCTGGTTGATCTTGAGTTTCAAACTCTGAGTAGTTACTTTGAACACTTTGAGATACCGTTACACTGAATGACAGGGGGTTGTGTGCGTCAGAATATAAATTACAAAAATCTACAACATCAAATTTGCTTAAGAAATTAAATAATTGTACATTGGATATCACATAATCAACAGTACTTATGTTCTTGCATGTGAGAGCACCTGTAGATTTGTCCCTTCCATATCGACCGTTAAGAATAAAAAGGTTATTATTGATACAGAAATCTACTAATTTGTAGCCAAAATTATTGATTGTTACATCTTTAACTGTTCTGACCAGTGGGATTCCAAAATATTCTAATAAATTGACATCTGTATTTACACTTTGGGTAACATTATTACAGTTTTGGCTATTTGCTAAAAAATCGTCAGTTACAACATAGTCTTGCAGTTTTCCAACCCTGGCATTAAAATCTCCTAATAAACAAACATAATTACTATTTTTAGTTATTTCATGCATCTCCTGCTCAACTTCCAAAAAACAATCAGGAGATGAATATTTGCTGTTTTCGGGAGGTATATACACAATTCCAAAGTAAACATCTTCATTGGAGTTAATCAGCAACTTACTCATTTTAAACCAAAAAACGTATTTACAATCTGTTTCTTTTACATTAATGTATTTTACATAAGTGTCCTTAACTAGAAGCCCTATACCACCTGATCTCGTTTTAGACAAATTAGCTCTGTTTTTCAGAAAAGTGGTATATCCAGGAATATTCACTTCATCTGAGTCATCGGTCTTAGTTTCCACAAAACACAGAACATCGAATTCTGCTATAAAGTCTGTAAATTCCTTATATTGGAGTCTTTTGTTTATGCCGCAGACATTTAAAGCGAGAAATCGGATTTCGTCACGCTTCTGTTCTCCTGCGGTTTCCTAGTGTGTTGGCGTTGATCCTCTACGGAATCTTTTGACCGCTGGACGTCGGCCACTTCCGCGTCGGCTACGATTCGGGACGGGGCGACCGCGGTGTGCCTCGCTGGACATCTCTGCGCCTTGGTTAGCTCCACCCTCTGCACCGAGCGTTTCCTCATTGTTTTCGTTGGGGACGTATAGACTGCCGTCTATGTACAGTTTGTCCACCACTAACTTGACACGTCTATCGTTAAGTCGAGCCTCTCGCATAACAGGGTAGAGTTTTTTTCGTTTCTCTTCTATCTCTGGTGGGAATTGTTCGTTAATCCATATTTGTGTGTGTTTTAGCTTCTGGGGTGCCCGTCGTCGGACAAATTCTCTATCCTTGTAAAAGCTGAACTTTGCGACTATGTTCCGGGGCCTTGTTCTAAATTCATCGGGTTTCCCCATGCGATGTACCCGTTCAAATGATATGTAATCCCGGATTTTCAGTTTGTTTACGAGGAATTGATGAACAACTGCCTCACAGTCTTCATTCGGTGTTTCTGGAATGCCACTAAAAATAAGATTGTCCCTCATTGACCTGCTTTTTAAATCAGTGACTGACCTCTGTAGTTCCTCGTTTTGTCGTGTCATCGAGCTTAACTCTTTGTTAATATTATCGCGCATAGTCTTAGCTTCATGTTTTAACAGTTTCAATTCATTTTCTGCTGTCTTTTTAACGTCGTCAAAAATCTGACCAGTCGCTGCAGCACTTTGCTCCACATCAAAAACTGTCTGTTTCATAGCGCTTAAATCGTTCTCAATAGTGCATACTTTACTTTTCAGTGTTGATACCGAGTCATTTATAGTCTTTATGTCTGACATCTTCATTTCAATTTCTGTGAGTCTTTTCTCTAGAGCTACATTGTTTTTTTCAATGATTGATAGTTTAGAGTTCATTTGCATGAGCAGCGAGTGAATTGTTTCTAATGAAACTGCCGAGCTCTGGGAAGCGGTATCCATTGTCTCTCCGTAAATAATAGAATGACTTTGCGAGACTAGACTAATTGTATCATTAGGAGATGATTGCAATGACATCCCTATCTATATACATCTATCTATCTATATACACACAAATGAGTGATACAAGGTTATTGTGTCCATACGTTGTCTGCCTAACTCAGTATAAGTCGGTGAACACTTTTCACACATAGAGGCACCAGAAAGTTGACAAACATGCCGAAATGTCCATTCTATCCAGCATTAGGGTTTGCAAAGCAACATATATGTCAAATACACAATAAATAATCACTTTTTTCAGTTTTGATTGAAATTAACTTACTGTAAAACACTGTTTTCCCACTTATTATAGGAGCTAGATTTTAATCAGCCCTCCATTCTACTCGACCTTGACCTTTTTCTCCAGGTGAAAGGTGAACTTATAGTGAAAAAATAAGAGAATAAATACAAAATTATTTACAATTTACTAACATTGAAAAACACAAAATTATAATAATTAATATTTTACCAGCTTGGATCAGTAGCAATCATGGATCGTCACTTTGATCTGAGATTTTCTTTATTATTTGTTATATCTTTAATTCATTTAGAATTTCATCAAGATTGAAAAGTATTCTTTTTTTTAAGAAATTTGACTTAATTAATAAATAATATCAAATAATTAATAATTTATTCAATAAAATCAAATATTTTCCCATAAATATGATAATATATAGAATTTTAATAAAATGCTTATAAAATTGTATTAAACCTCTTAAGAATACATTAAGCTAAATCAGGTATTCACAGGTAAATCCAGGTAAATCCAAACCAAAAATCAGACTATAATTGCTATCAAAACACACTTCACACCTATTGTTCTATACCTTATTATCAAATGTGTGCAAAACGGGAACAGCCCCCTGACCTATTGATTTCCCTAATTTACATTCCGACAGAATTGTCAAGAAATCAACTCCACTAACTTTCAAAGAGTTATCACAGAGAAAACAAACAGAAATGGAAATATTTGATTCCAAATTTATCTTTTAAAGAAATAATTGTATATGATGTTATAAGAAAAAATATAAATACAGAGAACATATTAGCGTAAGTAATGTTGTGTTAAGGGAGATTAATAGACAAATATGCGCTCAAGGTTTAAAAGAGAAAAAAACTTTAATTCTTACACCCGTTTTTTTTCTGATGTAACCTGCGGCTGTGACATTTTGAATATTATAACTCAACATGTGATTTCTACCTCATGTAACTGCATTCTTAATTTCGTCACGTGACTTGGTATGGAAGCATGTTTTGTGCTAATGTTTTGTTTCGTTGTGTTAGATTTAATTGCAGCTGCATTTCTATAACTCACTGATCTGGAAAAAAATCGATGGACGACTAGAAACTCAGAAGTAAGAATGAGGAATAAGAAGGCTCCACAAAATTAGCGATTTCACTGTAGGGAATTCTGTCATAACTCTCAAAACTTTTATACATATACTGCATCGAACTTGAGAGAGGGATGCAATAAAACAACCTTATGACAAGGCAGAGTAAGCCTGTTTCTAACTCTTCATACCAAAAGCAACTGCCACTGGCGCATTAAGAAGGGGGAGGTACGTAGCCCCCACTTGTGTCCAGAATATACTTAAGATAACTGTAATAATCAAATTTTTGGGGTGTGGCTGTGGGCCCGTTCCCCAACCCCAAACTGGTCGCCCTTCCCCTTTCGAGATTCCTAGATCCACCACTGACTGCAGTGTAGAAAGTTTTACTAGAGATGGACTATAGACTGCATGACAACACTTAGATACATGTACATGTACGATCACTTATTCGTAAAGTCCTAGCTGTGGGGAGAAAAGGTCACTGTTTCAATTAGCTAGAGTTCTGTCTTGATAATTTTGAAACAGGGAAAAACCAATTTTGGACATTTTCTGTACAAATTTCTCCCTTCCAATATGCTGATGCAGAAATGTGTTTAATTTTTTACGTGAATTTATACATCAAGATTTTGGACAAGCTTTGATTTCTTTGATATAATTCAAAATTTGAGGCAATATTTATTAATTTCGATCACTTCAGATTTCTCTTGTCTTTGATTCTATTGGGAAAAAATACATAAACTAATAATTAAACAATGGCACGCGCACCTAAAAGCGGAGCATCCCCTCATAAAGAGCCTATCTATAAATCAAGGCCGCATTCTGCATCGATTCCGACAGAAGAAATATTAATATTGTACAATTTTTCAGAATAGGTTAACTATAAATTCCATTTATCTTATTTTCTTCGTTAAAACAAAATTTTCATTAATCTATACTTTTAAAATAAACGTGATTAGATTAAAATGCACTACATTGTACGTAATTCTGCTCTTTAATTTTAATGCCGGGTATTATTTTTGGTCGCACGTACATGGCATGTGAGCTGGTACTCTTTTTCAACCATTAACACCTATTCTACAAAAACCTCATCACATTTGAGACATGTTAATAAGTTTGATAAATTATTCGATAAAGGTTGCGCCGAAATAAAAATTATGAAAACGATTTGGACATCTGGTAAAATAAAGTTTCAGTATTTGATATATGTTATATTAGCGATAGGGCATTATACAAGACTAGTCCTTTTCCTCTCTTACTAAATGGTCAAAAAAAATTCTGTTGTTGAATCATTTAACATGTTTGTACAAAATGTACAAAAATAATTTATGTATACTCCAGACATTGTTAAAAGGACACAATGAGTCAAAATCATGTCTTTCTTTCAAGATATTTGTAGCATAAAGAGAAAAACATGAAAATTATGATTATATAGCAAAGATATGAGAAAACTGCAAGAAAAAACTGCACGATATAAGTGCCGGAAAAACAAAGGTTGTAACTACCGTTTCGTTATTTTCGTGTATGTCAAGGTCACGCCACTTTTATTTTTAGCTCAAACTTGTAAACAACATTCAACTGGAGCATGTAAAGGTGAGAAATATGTTCTAAAAACGTTTTTAAAAAATTGCCTCTAAATTTTTGGTCTACTTACACTCATTCCTGGGTACTTGAGACCATGGTAACTATGGAAACTTATTCAACTTTTCTGCGCACGCGTACAATAGGGTGGAAGAAGTATTGAGCAATATTTTCGGTCTGGGGCATACTTAAATTATTTTTACTTTTATTTTTCTCCTTAAAAATAGAATTTTTCGGTTCTCAAACCTGTAATTTTCTGAAACCTAATACTTTTAGGAATTGAACAAAAATTAACAAGGGTCATGCAAAAATTCTGCATTTGTCAATTTTCCCCTTTGCGCGTCACTGTGTCGCTCTATATGTATATGTACAGATGAAGCACACTTGATAATAATTTTATAATTACATTGTTTACATATATTAAACTGTGTGAGTTTTATTTTATGATATACATAAGTATTGTATGATTTGAATAATCTAATATATATTTTTTTATTTTTTTTTATTTTTTGTGTTACATGTGATGCATGTATATGTATTTACACGCTTGATGGTAATTTTGTTATTACCTTAAAGTAAATACATGTACATTGTACGTATTGCAAATAATGTCAGTGATATGTATTTCTAAAGTTCAATGTATACATATAAATCATTTCTTAAATCCAATGTAGACATATAAATCATTATGCTTATGTTCACTTTAAAGGTTTCATAAACGCTGGTGAATATAACTTGGTATATATATGATTTTTTTTTGGTTACATATAATACATATAAGATGTATACACATATTTACATGTATCTTACACTCTGTGTCAAAATAACATGGAGAAGATAACAGCAATTTTTTTGAAAAGTGTATTTTTATGCATAAATACATTTATTTGTCTTACAGTGGGTTTTTATTCATTTATTTTACAAGATCTCCCTCTTTGACCAACATTGATTTTACATGTTACACACAATTTTTAAATTTTTATTTTCGTTATGGTCCGTGTAACATTTAACAATTCAAATTTCTAAAACGAATTAGAGATTTAGAATGTTAATATATTAGTTCAAATTTCTAACTTTCAAAAACTCAGACTGATTTGTTATATTGAAATTTAACATTTTACTTCAAAAATCTAAATTTCCAAATTTCAAAACAGGTTTTAGAATTTTAAGTTTTTCGATTTTTAGCTTTAATATTCAAAATTCAAATTTCCAAAAACAATGTACCGTTTGTTTAGAAAGTTTACGCTAAACAATCTAAAATTCGATAACATTTTCGTCTTTTGATTATTTAAAATTTACTTCAAACTTCCAACTTTCATACGCTTTAGATTTTTAGAAATTTAAAATTTTGATTTGAAAACTCAACTTTTAAATAACAAAAACACTTTTGTATACATTTTGAGTGTTTAGAAGTTTACTTCAAATATCCAAAATATCAAATTCCATAACTGGTTTAAATTTTGGATATTAAATTAAAATTCTAAAAACTCAAAGTGTTAAGGTTATTTGAAATTAGAACATTTGAATCAAAATTCTAAATTGCTAAAGATCTAAAACGTTTCAAAGTTGGAGTTTAGAAGTTTGAAGCTAATTTCAAATACCCAAAAGACGAAAAATATTACCGAACTTTAGATTGTTAAGTTTCTGAACAAACGGTAGACTAAAAACTCAAACGTTAAAATTCCAAAAATCATTTTTGGAAATTTGAAATTTGAACATTTAAGGTAAAAATCTAAAATATCAAAATTCTAAAACCTGTTTGGAATTTTGAAATTTTTGATTTTTAAACTAAAATATTAAATTTCAATCTACAAAATCAGTTTGAGTTTTTGAAATTTAGAAATTGTAACTAATATATTAACATTCTAAAACTCAGAATCATTTTAGAAATTTGAATTGTTAACGTGTTACATGGACCCGTTTTGTCAGCTACATCTTTCCGTATTTTGGCCGTGGTTCACTGACCACGTCCGGCAGAAAATCATTGAAATCAAGGTGAAGGTACCTGAAACACGTGCAGCAGGTGAGAGGTTTAACCCATAAGTAAATTGTCAAATGGTGTTGAACATGCAAACGTTTTCTATATAAATGTTCCAGATAAAGTGCGCCTTTTTTGCGTTGCTATTGCTTGTATTAGTACTACATGTACCGGTCAGTTTTGAACAATACAAACTTGTTTACTATTTGACTTACATGATTGATGATTACATAAACTTCTACGGAAAGCGATACAAAACTTTAAAAAAAAATGTTTTAATGTTACTGCGCCATTGCCAAAATGCATACTTTTTTAGAATCAAACCAAAAAAGTAAAATAAAAAATGCGGAATCGAAATCTGATGCATCTTAAATGATTCCGATAGATTCTTCTGTCCGTTCTTTGTAATACAACCCATTTGTGTCAAAGGTAATGACAATTTGAAATTGTTTGGTTTCTACTAGCTGAAGAACCGTAACTGTCTGAAAAAATATATTGACAGTCCGGTCTGTCGATGTATTTTTTTTCGGAGAGCTTCTGTTCTGTGGCGAGGATTGTACATGATTGTACATGTACGTTCACTCATATCTTGATTTTACGTTCAATAATTTTATTATACGCCCCATCATGATGTAAGCTGCACATTGCCTCTTTTCAGGTACGTGTTTACCAGCGGTGTCTTACTTGTTAGATTCTGACGTATTATGAGCGCTCTTCAGTTTGTCTTTGTGGTCGTGGTGGCGGCGTTTGCGGCATTCCTTGGATACCAGGTTCAACTGTCCACCACAAAGCCGGATATGACGTCAAGAGTTATACGTGAGATGTCTCCCGAACAGGAGTTGGTGAAACATTCCGAAGAATTTCAGAAAAAAGAAATTCGAAAGGTTTTAGTTTTTCTGTTCATTTTCCAGATCTTTACATATATGTACAGTAATCGTTTTCATTTTATACTCTAACTTTATTAATTAAACTATTGAGAATTTAAGGAAATGTTATCTACAGTTTGATTCCGACTCTATATTTCTAGGGGAAGGGGCGGTTAAAGTAATGTGGTTTTTTTTTGGGGGGGGGGGGGTTAATATGTATGTGCGACGAGATAAAAAATTATAATTTCACTTCTTATTACAGGTTATGGACAATATTTACATGGGGATAGGTTATGCCTTAGGAAATGCGATAATGGTGATCGCCCCTGATGGACTAATTATTGTTGATGTCACTGAAAGTAGTCTAGCTGCAAAGGAGATTTTGACAGAGTTTCGAAAAATCACAAAGAAGCCCATAAAAGCAATCATTTACACACATCATCATACTGATCATATTGGTGGTGTAGGGGTAAGCCCACATTTAAACATCCTTACTTTTCATTTTTAAGATTGTATAAGTAACACTTTTCGAATATTTGAGCTTACATGGACAGCAGGTCTAATGCATTATGTTTTTTTTGTCAGTTTTCCAACACAAACTTTCAAGTCACGCTTTAAATATTTGAAATATTATCATTGATGGTTTGATTTTAAAAAATCGCAATTTTTAAAGGGTTTTATTGAGGATCCCTCTAACTTACCAGACATCTGGGCACACGAACAGTTACCACAGGAAATTAGGAAGTTCCACACTACTGCTTACGGAGCAAAATTCAAACGATCCATGCGTCAATTTGGAACATTTGTCACCAAAGATAAATTTCAGAATGCTGGAATTGGAATCCAGTTGAATTATGGAAAAGATAAGGATTCAATGGGATTTATTCAGCCGAACAAACTTTTGAAGGATATGGAATTGGACACAAATATTGCAGGTATTGAATTGACTATTGCAACGTTTGATTTTTTAAATAGAAGAAAGTGATAGTAGCATGTTTTTAATTATTTTCATGACAATAAAAGATCCTGTTTACATTTATTTGGAGGGGGACGTCTATCAGCACTGCCTGCCCTATAAAACTAAATCGTCTTTTTTTTGAAATTCAGTCCTTGGCTATATTCTAGTAAACCACAAAAAAGAATACCACATGTTAATTTCTTATAACACATTTTGATATATAATTAATTTTTATGCTCTTTCTATAAATTCATATATATTCTTTACAGGATTAGATATCCGTCTTTTGAAAATACCAGGAGAGACAAGTGATCAAATCGGTCTGTGGATCCCATCTTTTCAGGCCTTTATGTGTGCGGATGACGTGTACAGGGCATTTCCGAACATTTACACCATACGAGGAGCTCCGGCTAGAGACCCAGTGGACTGGTATACTTCAGTGCAAAGAATGCTTGATTTGGAACCGGAATATCTTGTTCCAAGCCATACCCAACCCATTATAGGCAAGGAAAATGTCCGAGGAGTTCTGGAGGTATACAGAGATGGCATTCAATTTGTCCACGATCAAGCGCTTAGGTTCATCAACAAAGGGTTGTCACCTGATGACGTTGTCAAGCACGTGATCATGCCTGACAAGCTTCGTCTGCATCCCCACTTGAGAGAATTTTACGGTACGGTACCTTGGTCAGTTAAAGGGGTGTTTCAACTTTATCTCGGTTGGTTTAGTGGTGATCCAGTGGATCTCTTTCCATTGTCCAATACTGACAAAGCAAGCCGTGTTGTGGCGCTTGCAGGCGGTGTGTCTGAGGTCCTGACCTCCGCCATTAAAGCATGGAACGATAACGATATACAATGGGCCTTGGAGCTTGCCTCCTACATCCTAGTTGTGGATGATCGAAATGTGGAAGCAAGAAAAATCAAAGTGGATTGTCTCACCCTTCTTGGCATTAGAAATATTAATGCCATTGCCAGTAACTATTACTTGACGAGTGCTCTTGAAACCTCAGGGAGTGTTCATTTACGACTGGAGGGCAAACATCGCCAGGAGATCATTACAGCACTTGGTCCCAGAGAACTTTTCGAACTTGTATCCTCTATGTACAAATACGATGAATGCGGTGGTCGTTCAGATATTGTGGTATTTGTAATCAAGGATTTAAACGAACAATATACAATACAGCTTCGTAACTATGTTGCTATTGTCAGAAGTGACATTACACCCAAGAAATACGATATAAAAGTTACTGCTTCACAGAAAGCCTTGAAGAAAATGATGATAGAACAAATTGCAAATGTACAGTTGAAAGACTTGGGTGATTTCAGTCTTGACGGCGATGAGGAAAAGTTTAGAAGTTTCATGGCCTGTTTTGAATCTGATTGGAATGAGTGAATCATGATTAAACATGTAATTACAAAAATGATTCTTTTTCTAGATCCAAATTATTTTTTTTTTCGTATTATGCTTTCGTACGTTGTATACATACACATCCTTTACCACTGCATTTATCCTGTTTTCATTGATACTATGTAACATTCTAATTATGAATAAAATGTAAAATATGAGCATTGATTTTTAGCTCATTTGAGCCAAAAGCTAAAGTGAGCTTTTCTGATCACATTGTGGCTATCTGTATGTCTGTACCTCTATTTCATATTTATACTCCCGCTCCGAAGGAGAGGGGGTATACTGTTTTACCCTTGTGTTTCTGCGTATCCATGTGTCCGTCCGTAACAAATTTTCGTTGCAGTTTTCTCAGCAACTACTCATCGTAGATGTTTGAAATTTTAACATAATCTTTTCTGAGGCATGCCATATGGTGGGATACATTTTTGATCAAATCCGATGTCAATTTCCTGTTTGTCTGTGCGTCTGTCCGTTTCATACGTAACAAATTTTCGTCGCAGTTTTCTCTGCAACTACTCATTATAGATGCTTAAAATTTTTTAAAATACAATCTTCTCTAAGATATGCCATATGTTGGGATACATTTTTTTTCAAATAGGATATCAACTTCTTGTTTGTTTGTGCGTCTGTCAGTTTCATACATAAAAAAATTCGTCGCAGTTTTCTCAGCAACTACTCATCACAGATTCTTGAAATTTTAACACAATCTTCTCTGAGGCATGCCATATGGTGGGATACATTTTTGTTAAAATCTTATGTCAACTTTCTGTTTGTCTGTGCGTCTGTCCGTTTCATATATAACAAATCTTCGTCGCAGTTTTCTCATTAGCTATTCATAGCCGATGCTTGAAATTTTATTACACTCTTTGTTGAGGCATGCCATACGGTGGGATAAATTTTGATATGAATCTGATGTCAATTTCATATTTTTCTGTGCATCTGCCTGTAATTGAACTTGTGTATATTAGCATGATAGTGCTTATTTACAACAGAGCGGGGGTATTACTAGTGAGCGTTGGCTCGCAGATCTCTTGTTTCGTCTTCTTCTCTAGAACCACTAATGAGTTAATTTCATCCAAATTTGGCACAATTGCAGAGTACTAAGTATTATACAAGTTTGTTCAGATGAAGAGTAACACTTTTTCAAAGGGGAAGTGATCAAGTTTTGTGAAAATTTAATGTGAAATTTTAAAAATCAACAAAATCCACAAGGCAAGAAGTGTAAATAGAAAATATTAAAAGTTTGTTCAAATCATCACCTCCATGGGTACATGTGAGGTGTGGCCATAATAATCTCTCAGAGCTTTATCTCAAGAGAAGCAAACCCATGTTATAAGTCAAATCAATACGGAAGTTATCACCATGTAGTATAGACTCAGTTTTCATCACTACCACCAGTATTTTGCTAGCCAAAAGCTCCTGATCCGCTACTACTAGTACTCTCCACTAACCTTTATTGGCTTATGGTGCTACCAAAAGTCGGGATTGCTGGTAGGATTTCTTATTCTTTTTGCTCTTAAATCCAATCGGCGTTAAGAAACGTCATCGTTTTCAAAGCTACCCGGGGTATATGATTGATGGACATATTGTTAACTTAATTAATATTAATTTCGTACTAAGTTAGATAACTCTTATTTGTGAATATGGAACTCTTCAGTCTGGGGAGTTAGTTTTGGACTTGTATTAAATGGTGGGAAGTTTACTGGTGTTTTACTGGGTTGTGTGAAGTTAACAAATTTGATATTGAACTTAAAAAAAAACAAACAACAAATAAATGAGAATGAAAAATTGCAATTTAAAAAGTGTGTAGTAAGGCTCTCAATCGAAATTTCCGTTCTGCATAATTTGCAACAGTTGAAGTCCGGATGCACCCTTTTTTGTCATGCAGTCCGCTAACTGATATTTCCCGGAACACCATTTCACTGTGGTATTTTATTCGCAATTTATTGTTTCACTAGTAGCCGCTATGTCTATGCGAAGTCTCTTTATCCTCAGCAAGCTTAGTGGAATTTAGCGACTCAATAACACTTTTATTGTCTGTATACACTTCCACCACTAATTGTTGTCCAAGGATTTCTTCGAGAATACTTTTGTGGAACGCTGCTGACTCCAATCCTTCCTGTAGACTTAACGCTTCGGCGGCAATAGTTGAACGTACAACTCGTCTTATCTTATTGCTTTGCCAGGTTATTGGGCAGCAGTTTCCTTCGTTGTCTGTTAGCCATACTATATGAGCTGCTGTACTTCCCACACCATCATTGAGATTCCCGAGGGAGGCATCCGTAAGTACCATTATTTTCCAATCTGTGTCATTGTCCTTTAATTTTGGAAAACACACTGTGGATTTCATATCCTTCAATCGGTTGATCACTTTGATCTCATGAAGTAAATCATTGATGTGGGCTTGCTTCAATTTTGTGGCAATAATATAGCCCTTCCTTTTTTTGAGATTGCTACAACTCCTTAGCATCTCCTCAATGGTGCAGTGCGGGAGTGAATCACTCCCGCACAGATTTCGGTTCAGATTTTCAGTAAATGCCTATTTTATTAACATTTCTTACCTGGACTCCAAAACTGTAGTTATGCAAGACATAAATCGGTCCAAAAATATTCATAACGATCCATATGTTATTTTTGTTGTATGTCAACATCACAACTTGAATTTATCCGCCATGTTTACTGACCTTGATAGATTTTATTTTGGGACAACCAATGAGGATTTAGGATAAATAGGAGCGGATCTTTCATGAAATCCCTTATTTTAAGCATAAATATCGCTGTTTGCGTATAAATTTCACTTGAAATGGTTTTATTTATCGATGCTTTTGTGATACCATTGAGCACAATTTATAAACACTGACATTTCCTTTATTGTTCTAAATTTCAAGCGGAAGTCTCAGTGCATCACGCGTGAACTGTCATGGCTGCTGGATAGAGCGACTGTTAAACAAAAAGATTTATTTTACACGTTTTTTGCGTTTTACAGACTATGTTGTTGATAACTTGATAGTGAATAAAAATTTCGTCTTATTAGAAGTAAGTTGAATTTAAAAACAAGTTTATTTGCCTGCAATCGTTCGTATTTAAAAAAAATATATTTGCACCATTACGGAGATGCTGTGGAATTGTAGCCCTCTCCAGAAATTTCAGATGAAAAAAATCGGAGAGGGTTACATTATTGCAGCTAATGGAAAAAGTTAAATCAAATTATCATGAAATACAAAATTTTGTCTCTTCCGAGATATGAAACACGCAACTTGCGTATCGCTTCAGTATGCAAAAGTACTAGTGTATCAAAAATAACAAAAAGCTAGTTGTTGCTATGCAATTTACTGATGTTACAACAAGAAATGTTAACACAATTTTGAAAAGAGAAGACAACGGAGCTTTCAAACACCTCTGAATGGATGTATCAATTACAATTTACAGTTTTTGACAGGAAACGGAAGTCCCATTCCTTTATATATAGGAATGGGCGTTTCCTGGTTGGTCAAAGTTCCAAAAGTCATGAAGTAATTTTGCTCTGGTAACTTGGCAGAACGATCCGTCTCGCCTACCTAGTTACCAGATAAAAAGAGCCAAAGAAGAACTTAAAAAAGATGAATTTTGTCAGCAATGTTTAGCCGCAGAGCTTTTTCTCTGCTCTGTAGCCAACATTCTGGGAATTTGAAGAAATATCCGAAAGAAATAAAAAATAAATTTGATGTCAAACAAAGATACTGGATAAAATAGCTCGGGTGTCTTCTCTTTGGTTTCCAAAATACAAAAAAAAGTAAATAAATAAATAAAATTCGGAAATCGAAAATAATTAAAACTCGGATGTTCAGATGGCAGGCATTCTTCAGTCTTCATTGCTTTTCCTACAATTGAAAGAAATGTAACTTAAAAAATTTGATGACTTTGATCACAAATTGTACTAGGGCTAGCTATAAAAATCGAAAATATCTTTAATGCTATTTGAGTGATGCTTGATATACATACATGTATTATCAAAAAATTGTTATGAAAATTTCAGTCAGAATATTTGAATTTTATTGTATGAAGTTCATGTACAATTTTAGAAGTAAAAAAAAAATTTTAAACTAGTGAATCAGTGTTTCTCTGAGAAGGGGAATAATTTTGTAATTTTCGTTAGTCGAGCTGGACATGTTTTGACTATGATTCACTAAGACTAGGCCGTGTGAATAGTATTATAGGGTAAAGTGACTTATCCGATACTTGTGCAACCCATTTAACCATTACCTTCCACTTTTATTTCCCTTTTCCATGTTTTAACAAATATGTAGTCTTACACCCTTTTCTCGGCACGTCTGTTTCCACTTTATACGAATTACACACTAGGTTGTATATTTTTTTTACACCAATAACGTTTTGATACATGTAGCATGAAAAATGCCTATAGTGCGATAAACATGAAAGGGCAAAAAAGATCATTTTTCTCATAACAGATTTTTTCAACAAATCATAGGCGTAGTCACGGGGGCGGGGGGCAGCGGGGGCACTAATCTTTCAGATCTGTGGGGGGGGGGGCAAGAGTATGTCTGTGCCCCCCACTTTTTAATGAAGAACAAAATCACAGCTATGTTGAAATAATATTAAACCTCATTTTATGGCAATTTTTTTTAATTTTCAACAACTGAGTAAGCATGTCTCTTGAAAGTAATAGTTGTATGATAGGGCTGGGTATTGGCCCGAGATTTCGTATTGCGATATATTGCGATATTTATAACTGTATTGCGATATGTATTGCAATATTTTCAATTTAATTTAAATGGCATTTTCTTACTATATTTTCTTTAATTTACATGCAGAATGTACATAACTATGATGTAATCAACACTGACAAAAAAAAATGTTGATTTCATTTTATGCTCTGAAATGTTCCCACAAAACAACTTCTGTCATACTTTTGGCTTAAAAACAAACTTTCATAAGAAAATTTTTATATTTAATGACAAAATTCCTTAATTTAAGCATTTATTGCCAATATATCGATATTACAAAATCGTATTGCGATACGATATTTTTTGTCATTGTATTGCAATATATTGAAATATCGATATCATTGCCCAGCCCTATTGTATGATATAGTAATGTAATATAGTAATTAAATCTGTCAAGACCTCTTGTGTTCGCCAGTTTGGGATAGGGAGTGCGGGTCATAAATTTAAGTTTAGACGTTTCTGTTTCTCTCAGCATCTGTTATCTAACAAAATTAAATGAGAATCACAAGCTACCCCTTGTGCTGACATCTGAAAGTCATTATTTATTTGCTGTATCCCATTTCATGTATAATACATAGTCACAAAGTAAGTTTTGTCAAACTCCGGATTTTTAATTATTTAATTTTGCTGATTCATTAGCACTCTTTTATTTTTACATTTATGTACTACAGAATTCTAGTAAATCCAAATCTCATCAAAATAAGTAATGTCTACAAGATAGCTGCAGTATTGGAGATTCTGATTTCGGTATACCTTTGATGAATGTCAATCAACTTTAAAAACAATATATTACTTTAAATCCTCTCATTCAGCTTAGACAGGGGTTTGATATCACTTTGGCTAGCTGATTTAAGGGGGCTTGAGGGACGCACACCCTTAAAGTTTTTAAAGTATGATATGATTAATATTATTAATGCCATACTTTGATACATATCTAACCAATGCCACTATTTTTGTTTCTGGTTTTACTATTAAATCACACGAAAACTCAGGAGCTTCCAGGGGCTTCGCACCCTAGGCCCCACCATTCAAAGTGTGATATGACTATTATTATTTTTTGTTATACCTTTAAAAATTTGTTCGAATACAAATCTAATTAATCTATACGGAAAAAAGTCTCACATTTTTAATGTTTTGCTGAGCGGGCATAAAAAAATCGATGTTGACCGCTGAATAAAAATTTTGTCTTATTAGAGAGATGTTGAATTTACGTCACAGAATGGGCGGAGCTTATTCTCATTTTCATTCGTTGGTGTTAAACAGTGACAGACCTGATGTTACATCACGGAATACAGTACAAAATAAATGTATGTCAAAAAAAATAAAATAAAATGAAAGGTATTATAATAACAAAACATTTATTGCAGCTTCTCGGAAAAAGTTTTTGTCGAATCAAAAACTGTCTGCCTGGCCTAACGGCCTCAAAATTTTGGTCTCTTGGGTATGACAAAACGCAACTTGCGTATCGCTTCAGTATAAATGTATAATGTATCAAAACATATCATATTCGCCGAAAACATGTTGTACATCTTAATATTTCTTTATTTAACACACACGGCCTTAAGGCTTTGGAATTGGGGGTTGGAGGGTTGACAATATATAGAATACTACAGAAAACTTAAAAACTTAGTTAGTATATGCTGGTGCCCCCTCATTAAAACCGTGTGATGACCTTTTTTTTTTTTTTTTTTTTTGCTTGTCAAAGAATTTCTGGAGTTGAGCCCCCCACTTTTAAGTTTGTTACTACGCCTCTGACAAAGGTGGGTCTTCGCTCAATTTCTTGAAAGTTAATCCGAAAAGTTTGCGTAAAAATACACACTTTTTGTTTAATTTTTGTTCAACACGGAAAAAGACCTAATAAAACTTTAAAAAATACACTTTCTGACATGATTATTATTATCTTTCCGAGAAATACTTGAAGGCCATTCAGTCAAGAACCATATCACAAACATGATTTAACTGCCCCATTTTGTCAGGAAATGTAAAGCGTAGTGTTTAGAGCGAAAGTCTCAAAGCAAAATGATTGCCAGGGTTCGAATACTGGTACCTTGAACATCACATTATCTTTCAGTAAAATACTATCGGCCAAAATTGTTCACCCGACAGTCTTCTTAATTCAATCAAAAAAGGCCTTTTTTTTTAACTTGTTTGTCTACATTTGACAAACTTCATTCAGAATTTAACGGGTACATGTATATCCCTCTCACTGATAGCTAACTGGGGCTCTCATTAGCTGATATAAATGCAGTTAAGAATCGAGCCATTTTGAACAGGGTCTTCTCGAAGGGGGGCATTACAAACAGTTCAAAATTAAACGATGTTCATTTAAAACAAACACTAAGTCATTAAAATCATCCAAAAATGAAAATTTAGGGTCTGAGAACGGGGTGAGAACATCTATGGTTAGTATCCAGTGATTGGTCACGGTATAATTATACACATAAAAAGTCATAAGCGATAACAGGTATTACGTGACGCTAATCACTGTATAGACATGTACAATTCATATTCAAATAACGTTTTTTGATATTTTTTTTATAAATACATGCACTTTGAAATATGAAAAATATATATCCGAGTAACCAAGTACCGTTTATAGTATTAGAAACTCGGACGTTCGATCAGCCGTGAACTCGTTGACATCCCTACTTAATTAATTGTAGCAATGCATTAAAATAGAACGTTTTTGAACTCTCCACTTACCCAACACAACAACATAATCTCCTGAAAAAATTTCTAAGTCTCTTCATTTTCTGAAATGTAAAAAGAAAAGTTTTGTTTAGTGGTAAACATCAGCTAAAGCTAAACACCAAATGTAAAATCGGACATAATGTCATTATTGCAATATTAAAAGAAAGCAAGTTTGCAAATCTGATTGAGGTTTCATTTGAATAGAAACATACCCCAACACGTTTTGGTTTTCTCTCTTCCTCATTGTCGCCACCAGTGTCGCCACCTGTGTTGCCATCCTCTTTAACCCATTTGGTGACGGGTGCAGCCTAGATATGGTGAAGTACATTTGTCAGTTGAAGAAAGATCGAATCTTGTTTATAAAACAGGCATAAATTTTTTAATTTGTTCTTGAAAGTGAGAGGACCTACCAAATAAATGGTGACAACTTATATTACAAAAAAAAACTGACAAGCATAAAAAAGAAAATTTCCCAAACTTTCAAACTCCCTGGGATAGGCAGTTAGTCCAACTGTTTTTACGTCCAATCCAAATTTTATCAATACTAAACAAAATTATGCTGCTAAACAAAATTGGGCAAGGGAACTTTCGATGAAGATTTGAATTCTGTTAAAATGTTATTGCTGTAAAAATCATTTTTTTAAAAAGTTGGGGTGCAGGTCCCCCGCCCCATGATACCACGCGCTTATTTTAAACAAGAGGTCCATAGGCCACGTTGCTCACCTGAGTTCTTTGGACAGGAAAAAACACAAATCAGTTCAGTATTCAAAAGTGTACACGGGGGGGGGGGGGGGTAAACTTTGAACTACCTGAGGATGTTTCCATATCAAAGTAAATGTAACAAAAGGCTTTGTTGTTCTTGATCAGAATTTTTTTTAAAAAGACCCCCCTACAGATTCCTTTCAAATTTGATCCTCCACTGTGGCCCCACCTTACCCCATTTTTAGCTCACCTGAGCCGAAGGCTCAAGTGAGCTTTTCTGATCACATTTTGTCCGTCGTCCGTCCGTCTGTCTGTCTGTCTGTCCGTCTGTAAACTTTTCACATTTTCGACTTCTTCTCAAGAACCACTGGGCCAATTTTGACCAAACTTGGTACAAAGCATCATTGAGTGAAGGGAAATTTAAATTATTATAAAAAAAATAAAGGATCAAGTATAATCAAGAAAAGACAAAAATAGGGTGGGGTCATTAAAAAATCTTCTTCTCAAGAACCACTGGGCCAGAAAAGCTGAAACTTATGTGGAAGCATTCTGGGGTAGTGTAGGTTCTAAATTGTAAAAGTCATGACCCCCGGGGGAAGGGCGGGGCCACAATGGGGAATCAAAGTTTTAAATAGAAATATATAGGAAAAATCTTTGAAAATCTTCTTCTCAAGAACCATTGGGCCAGAAGAGCTGAAACGTATGTGGAAGCATCCTGGGGGTAGTGTAGATTCTACATTGTTCAAATCATGACCCCTGTGGGAAGGGCGGGGCCACAATGGGTACATGTAATCAAAGTTTTACAGAGAAATATATAGGAAAAATCTTTGAAAATCTTCTTCTCAAGAACCACTGGGCCAGAAAAACTGAAACTTATGTGGAAGCATCCTGGGATAGTGTAGATTTCAAATTGCAAAAATCATGACCCCCAGGGGAAGGACGGGGCCACAATGGGGAATCAAAGTTTTACATAGAAATATATAGGAAAAATTTTTGAAAATCTTCTTCTCAAGAACCAGTGGGCCAGAAAAGCTGAAACTTATGTGCACATGGAAGGATCCTGGAGTAGTGTAGATTTCAAAATGTCTAAGTTATGATCAGTGGGGTAGGGTGGGGATGCATTATGTATTACAAGGGGGAAATCTGGTAAAGAACAGAATGGTCAAAGCTTCTTAGGTGAGCGATGTGGCCCATGAGCCTCTTGTTTAACGAATTTGAATTTACGCTACCTGAGGATGCTTTTATTTCCATTATTTCAAATTGACTAAATACTGCTTTACTATTCTTGAGAAGAAGATTTAAAGATTCCTTATATATAATTAATAAATGTAAAACTTTGATCTCCATTTTGGTTCCACCCTTCCCCCAGGGGTCATGATTTGAAGAAACTTGAATCTATACAACATGATGCTTTTGAAGTTTTCTTGTTCTTTAGAATACTTCTTCTTTATATTCATAATTATGTAAAACTTCGATCCCCATAATGCCCCACCCCTGACCCCAGGAGTCATGATTTGAACTAACTTGAATCGACACAACCTGAAAATGCTTTCATATTGATATGACTAAACATAGCTTTCATGAATAGAAATTTTTTAAAAGATTTTTTCCCCTTTATATTCCTATGTAAAGCTTTGATTCCCCAAACTGACCCCACCCTACCCTGGGTGTCTCGATTCGAACAAAATTCAATTTACACTACCTGAGAATGCTTTCCTATCAATATGACTTACACTTTGTACCGTGGATTTGTTTTTCTGAAGAAGAATATTTATAAAGATTTTTTTTTCTATATACACGTACATGTATTTCTATATTAAACTTTGATCCCAATTTTGACCCCCACTCTAATTCCGGAGTTTTTTTTTTTAAAACATGCCATCAAATTTTAACCCTTTTCTAATTGTCTCCCCTTGAATAGGGGAATTTGCACAAACTTGAATCCCCTTCAGCTAAGGATGCTTTAAGGCAATTTTAGTTCAAATTGGCCAAGTGGTTCTGGGAAAGAAGTCTAAAATGTGAAAAGTTTACAGACGCACGGGCGGACTACAGACAAAATGTGATCAGAAAAGCTTACTTGAGCTTTCAGCTCACGTGAGCTTATAAGTACTTAGTAGTTCAATCAATGCATGCTACTTTAAAAGATAAATACTTTTCCGGAACTTCTCCTAAAACAGTGACAACAACACAAATACTTCATCCCGGCGACACAATTGCACTGCAAAAATAAAGAAAAAAAAACAGAACTTTAAATGCATCGAATATCTATTAATTATATTATTGGAAAAAAAATTAGTCTTTCGAATTTTCTTTGTTAGCGCAATATTTTTTTTATCTCTTTTGCACAATGCAGAATTTTTAATGCATTGAATACATGTATCTATAATTATTATGATATTTAAAAAATTAATCTTTTGAGTTTCGGATTCATTTTCTTTGTTAATGCAATATTTTTAACTATTTTGCAAAATTCCATACTTGCAAATAAGTGTCAGGTCCTTCAGACCAGTCCGACCCGGAATCGGAAATTCGGTCCTCTGAGCGTGACGGGAAGACCCCGTAGCGCCTGTCGTCCGTCCGCACCCGAAACTCCTCGTCTTCCTGTTAAGTAAATATAATTTGCATTTGATTGAATGATTGGAAAATCATGAGAATTTTTTTCTTTTGAAAATTTGAATAATTTTTCATACTTTAATTGTTCCTATCTTTGGGTCAAATCGAAATGGAGCTCTTAAATTATCTCCTGTCTTCGAGTCGAAGGGCTACAAAAAACAAGAGGACGACGCTGAAAACAAAACTCCCGATGAAAGTATTTAAAATATTTTTCTTAAATCGTCAGGCGTGTATATTAAAAAAAGATTTTAACGAATGTATTTGATAAAGTCAATTTCTTGTACATGTAAATGCTGCGAATCAGTAGAAACATTTGTAAATTAATACCTTTGTTTAGAAAAGGAGGAAAGGAACTTATAGATAAAGGTAACAGTTAATACATATTAGTACTTTTATTGTGCATATCATTCAGTACTGGCATATGTTAACCTGTTGCTAATCATTTTGATTACTGAAAAGAATTGAATTGTTATATCAGTGTACGTGTAAGACTTTTTTCTTAAGCAAAATATTTATTAATTTAAGTAATTATATTTTTTGCTGTCCTTATATACCATGAATATTTCCGGAAGCGCAATAGCGCCACGTTTTTCTTTAATTTGTAATATTATTCCAAATTTACAGTGTGCCTTTCCAACTTTAAAGTTGGTAATACCAATTCAAATAAACTCGTGGAATAGTTTTTCGTCCCTTGAAAGTTACATCGTTTCATTACAATTTGTGTATCTATTTTTTTCTTTTCACGATTATAAAAGTCTACAACTTTAATCAACTGAAATTCTATAAATAAGTGAAGTAATCTCGAACAACCCCAGATGTTGACTTTTTTCACCAAGTTAGGTACATGTAACAGCAATTAAAAGTAAAAAAAGTCGAGGGTTAATACAATCTTTTATTGTGCCGACTGGTCATGTGTACTAGTACGTGAATTACATCGTTTCATTACAATTTGTGTATCACATATTATAAAAGCACTTAAAAAAAAAAAAGACTCATTTATTTCGTGAAAAAATACTAAATAGGATGGTTATGGTTCATACACAGTTATGACTACTGTAAACCAACTTTTATTCGCGACGACTTTATTTCGCGATTTACCGGGGATAAACTAGTTTGCGACGATTTATTTTCGCGATCAAGCCTATTTTAGCTCTGTTGTTAATAGGCACATAGACCTTAAGGACCAGTTCGCGGCGAGAAATATTCGCAATGACGAAGCTCGCGAAAATTTCTCGCACGCGAATAAAAGTTGGTTTACAGTATTCTAAGTATACTAGTATAAACATTCCCTAACTATCAAATACAGACACCTTTTCCTCTTTCACTCTTTGTTTCACCAATGCCAAGAGTTGGCTGCCATTTTTGATCTTGTCTTCCGGAATGACCTCAGCCTCCTTCTCTGAAATCTCCTCACGTAGATCTTCAGGCTTAAAAGAAAAGTAAAAGATTCTCAAAGATTTTTTAAAATAATTTTATTTAGATTCATTGTTATTTATCACACATTTCATTTTCATGTTTAATTTCGACCCCCCCCCCCCCCCTTATATTTTAAAACACTCTGTCTATTTATACTATCAAGAGATTAAGGATTAGTTTTAGCTGATAAATTACATGAAACAATTTAGATTCATTGTTTTTTTTTATCACACATTTCATTTCATATTTAATGTCGACACCCCTCACCCCTTATATTTATAAACACTCTGTCTATTTATGTTATCATGAGATAAAGAATTAGTTTTAGCTGATAAAACATGTATCATGTATCCCTGGAATATCTCTAATCGTTTTTACATGTAAGCTCGGACATTTTTAGTTCATTAATTTATTTATTAGTAACATTTTCGACATTTAATTTTAGCATCGGTCAAAGACAGGTGCTTGTAGACAGCCCCCCCCCCCCGAAAATACATCCTAAGAAATACTAAAGATATTTTTATTTAGCACTTCTTTCATACAAAAACAAAACCGAAACAAACTTACGTGCCTTGCTGGATGGCTATGTATTTTTTGGTACTAAAATCTTTATAAAGAATTGTTATACAAGATCTGAAAAGGAAACTTCTCAGAAATTTGTTTTAAATTAATTACATCTACTCAAACTTGCGTATTTTTGGTAAGAATACAAAGCAGAATTTAATACTGTTGTGCAACCTGTCACAACGTACTTGTAGCTCTCTGGTCGTGAATCCCATTTATTTGCATGTATAACAATCGTTAAAAGTAAAATACATTACCGGAATATATTCCGTATAATCTCGAACGTATGGTAACAGCTCTTCGGAAGTCATTGGGATATTGAATCGGACCTGTTTGGTACCGCCTTTAAGCGGCAATTTACTGGGTTTCCTTGATGCCTGTAAAAAAGCCAAACATAATAAAGATTTCCAAATATTGACTACAGTTTTGCCATTGCGGCCCTATTCCCGAAGTTCCAGGGGGGTGGATCCCAAGTTATTCTAGGAAACATAGAGGGTCTACAACCAATATTACATTTCCCTTCAACTAAAGAATTTGATCATTGTGCATATGCATGATAGGATAAGGCTCTGTCATTCACTTAACTGAAATCTGACTGACTGAATGGCAGAGCTTACCATTCAGTTACATTTCTAGTCATTTCAGTAACCATTTAGTCGACTGGAAGGTGAAGTTTCATACCAACCAACTGCTCTAATATTAACTTTGAATTTTATTACAATGCAAAAATAATACATGTACTGGTATATTTCATTTATTTTTTAATGGTTACATGTAGTTGCTAAATGCCTGGGGAATGCCTTTCAAATGATAAATGAGTTATTTTTCACAAATTTATCTACAAAAAGCCTGAAAATGTTAAAATAAAGATAATATATTATATTTAACTAAGTAAAACGTAATAAAAGATCAAGATGCACGGTTAAAATTCTTATTTACTCACCATTTCAGCACAGTTAGTACATCTTTTGCCTCATTGATACAGAACAGTAATTGTGACGTCGATACACAACAGTAATTGTGACGTCATAAAAACGTCACAATGTTTGACTTTACCTGTTTCCCTGTCACTGTTTTCCGCGTCACTAGCAAGGATGAGACAGGGGGACCAGACTAGTCTTTACTGAGGGTGTAGCCTGGTTCCCTGTCCCTTATTACTACGCGCTCTTCTCGTGCTAATTCGCCTTTGCAAGGCAGGGGAGGCTACTGAGGGTGAGAAGGCACTCGGCACACCTCGCCCGATTCGTATAGAAGGCGACGCATTCAGCTACGGTTTACCGATTTCCCACAAAGTTCTTAACAATTTTTTAAATTTTCAACTTGCAGAGAAGTACGGAATATATTATTTGCTGAATTCTTTAATGTTTAATGAGTCTAGAGTCTGATAGTTAGAGGTAAAAATGAAAGTACAAGTTGTTGTATGATTTATTTGAAGTTATCAATCTAAAGGCATCTGCCACCTACAATGTATAAGACACTTGATTTATTTGTATGCATGTTTTTAATGTTTAATGAGACTGGAGTCTGAGAGTTAAAAATTTTTGTGAAGTGTATTTTATAGAATTAAAATTATAGGTGTGGAACTGCATTGTATCAATTGCTTATTGTTTCTTGCCAACAAACTTTGAAAAGAAAAAAAGAGATTTTTTTATGAGGTTGTCTGCATTATCCAGGAAGATGTTATAATTCGCAAGCTAGATGTCTAGAATCTTGGCATTATATGACTTAAGTTTTTCTTGTGTAGTTTACTTTAAAGCTTAAGTTACACAATAAAAAAACAAACTTCAGAATAAAACAGAAAAGGCCTGTGTTATTTAATAACACAACGAAATTGTTATCGTACAGTCTGTCTATAGTCGTTTTCACAGACAGCTAGACCGTGAAGTTTTCCCAGAATGCCCGACCGTGAAGCCGAGCATGCGTATTCCAGATAAATTATATGGGATGACGTAGTTGCTAGCGCTCTCGGCAATTAGTAATATTTCCTAAATTTGGCTCTGCATTTTAATTTATCAGAAAAATAAGCCTGTCTTTTATTTCCTGTCAGTCAGTTAACTGTTTTTAAATGATTTTATTCATAGATTCAAATTTATATTTAATTAAATAACTAATGTCTTTTACGTCCAGGAAGATTACATGTAAAACATATATTTGATTATTTTTAAAAAAAAATTGTACGTATATTACGCAACAACTGAGAGCAGACAGCTTAGCTTCATTATATATCTTATTTCCAAGTAATTTTTTTTATTTTCTCGAGAATTCGAGAGTTTTAAAATTCTATCAGTGGCAAAAATTATACTTGCACGTTCATAAATACAGAAAATTATTTTATGTGTACATTCTCGGCTTTATCCAAGTTTTTTAAGGTTTTTAAAAGACTGTTTATAATTAATTCTATGTTAAACGCCACCCGCGCGCGTAGGTTTAGCATTTAATTTAGATCGGGCTCGTCAAACCGCACGTGACTTTGGTGCGTCTAGACTCTGACGTCACATGACGTCGTATGTAAGTTACAAATACCAAGAAAAAACTGAACAGTGCTGAAAGTTAATGAAAAAAGTTACGCTTACAATTTATCTTCAATATGTATCCATTTAATCAAGTCGAGTAAACTTTTTGTTGAACATTTGCCGTCATTCTCGCGAGAACGCAACTTTGCTAAGTGATGCATTGTGGGTCAAAATTACTGCAGCAAAAAATTCTAAAGAATGAATGTTCAGTAGTCCGAATTTTCTCTTCGCCCAGGCGTTGTCGTTAGAGCTCGCAGTTACGAGCGTCGCTTCGCGACGCTCGCTGCGCTCGCTATAATAGTTTGTGATGATTTTTTGTCAGTCTTTGAATCACATGTGCAGACTGTGACAGTGAAAGACTCGCAGTTCATGATTATGTTGGCTGAACTTTTCATCGTATTTTGGAGAGAATAGCAAAACTGTTTACTGAGTGCAAAGTGTGTCAAAAATCAAGATTTTATAACATACAGTGAGATGCATCATTGAAATTTCATTAAGGTGGAATGCCACACCAAGTTTTTATTTTATAGATCTTTGAGTCATCTTTTTTTTAACAATGGTTTCAGCATTGAAAGGCCGATATTAGCTCTTAATTATTTATGAAATGTTTTTGTATTTTTTCAAAGAAAATGAAAATTATTTATGTCCAAATAAGATGTTTTCGAGTTAAAAGTTTGCTGTAAATGAATGCATTATATGAATATCTAATAAAATATGTAAAGAAAGGCTTGTTAGACTTTTTGTACCTCCCGCTTGAAAAGTGGGAGGGTATATAGTAATCGGGATTTCGTCCGTCCGTCCGTCTGTTACGCTTTATCTCTTATCCGCAACTCCTCTTATACTACTGAGTGAAATTTAATGAAACTTTCACAGAATCTTTATTACATATTGCCATTGTGCACCTCCTATTTTACTTTTTTATTCGACACTTATTTTAGGTTTCCCATAGCAAAACATGGACATTGCCATTATATGTTTACCTATCACGTCACGAACAGGAGCTTCTGGATAACATTTGATAGGACGAGTTATTCCTCTTTACACATTACCTTAAAACAATATATATAGCAACACATGGACATTATGGGAGGCGGGGGGTATCATTTAGTGAGCTCATTGCTCACAGTACCTCTAATTTGAATTAATTAACTGTGTCTAGAAATTTTATATTTGTAAAACTATTCATTCACTTTTACAAATATTAAATTTCTTTATAGAATTAAAACTTTGAATGGAATTCTAAATGAATAATTTAATCTCGCGCGTGTGCTCATGTAACAAAGAAAGACTAATTAAAATAGCATTCGTGTTACATAAGTTGTTTAAAATCCGAGCTGCATTTAATTTCAAAGTTTAAGTGTAGGATAAGCAAATGTATATTCCTGAGTAAAATACATTTATTTTCAATTTGTTCATCTTGAGTTATTCTGGATTAAGATCCGAGAATCGACAGCAGAAACACGAAATCGTTAAACAAGTTCCGGAAAACATTCTTTTGGTAATGTGTTATATGTAATTATGTCTTTGAAATCCTTTCAGTGTAAGTATTTATTTTTATATATTTCCATTTCAAATTTTTTTTTTCTCTCTGATAACTCTTTGAAAGTTAGGGGAGTTTATTTCTTGATAATTCTGCCGCAATGTAAATTAGGCAGGTCGATAGGTCAGGAGCTAAGGAGGCCTAATATGCATGCAAATCTTGTGCGCATCTGTCTCTGTGTCTGACGCTAAGGAGGCCAAATATGCAGGTAAATCTCGTGCGAGAACTATTGATATTGGCACGGGAGTCCTCGTGTAATTTAAATCGATAAGTCTACATTTTTAAAGTCTAAATCTACATGTACAACTTTATTTCACAATGAAATGGAAATATACGGAATCACTGTCTACTTAGTGTAGTATGCCAGGGACATCAACGATAGTGGGAAACAGGGGATAATATACGCATAACGGGCTTCGCCCGTTATGCAAATTATCCAATGTTTCCCACTATCGTTGATACCCAGGCATTCCCCATTTTAAAAAGTGAATTATCTCCCCTAGAAATCGGAACTCTTCTAAACTAGCATAACTTCCGCGGACTACATTACTGTTACATTATGGAAGACGTAACGATATTCAACGATTGGAGTATTACAAAATTAAGAGAATTTTTGAAAGATAATAACCGAATTGTATCAGGTTGTACAAAAGAACTTGTAGAAAGAGCGAGAGGTGTCCTTGTTCTGAAATTAACAGATGTTGATAGGCAAAACGATGTTGTTCGACAAGCAATTTCAAAGTTTCCCATTGGACAGTCTGTACCAAATTTAAACAGTCTGTCTAACTGGACCTCAAATTTATCAGGCATTCCCGATTTTTCAGAAAAGGACATTTATAACTATTTAGTTATCAAGCTAAACACTAAAAGACATCTGAAATCCAAGGTATTCCTTGAGGACAGACATGTCCGTTCGGTGGAATACAGTCCGGTCACTGATGATTGCAGCCATTGCTGCATTCGATGTAAAGTGATCCCCTCATTTCCCTCAGCTGAAGCAAACAAGCGCCCTAACTATACATGTAATGTGTCAGCATTTCTATCCAAAGTTACAGGGAATGTCTTTGCTGCATATTGCAAATGTACAGCTGGGTATGTACGCCTTTTGCCTGAGACTTGGTCAGTTCTTTTTTTTTTATTTTGACTACTAGTAATCTGAGTATTATTATTAGTCAGCCCCCGGGCTGACTAGTTACGTTAGGATGAAACTGCAAGTGCGCTTGCGTTAATCGGAATTCTGGGGAAAAAGATTTGCACAAATTCTCCAACCAGAGGGCGTGCTTCTTCACGCACACTCACGACCTCGATCTATTTATAGACTGCA